ATCAGTATTCCTGCAGTGATCGAATCATAAGACTGGAAGAATTCGAATCGAACTTGTACTATCCTTCTTTTTTCCTTTGCTTCACTCCTGTCACCCAGCAAAGTTCAGTTTTGTTTGTTTCGTTAAAGAGAATGAGAAGTAACCAGCTGCTTTTATTTATTTATTTGAGACGGAGTCTCACTGTGTGCCCAGGCTGGAGTGTAGTGGCGCAATCTCGGCTCACTGCAGCCTCCGCCTCCCGGGGTCAAGTGATTCTCCTGCCTTAGCCTCTCGAGTAGCTGAGAGCGCGCGCGCCTCCACGCCGGCTGATTTTTGTATTTTTGGTAGAGACGGGGCTTCGCCATATTTGCCAGGCTGGTCTCGAACTCCTGACCTTAGGTGATCTGCCCGCCTTAGCCTCCCAAAGTGCTGGGCTTACAGGCGTGAGCCACCGCGTCCGGCCTACCAGCCAGCCGCTTTTAACCCCTAGTCGTGTGGCTTACCCTACGAGCATTTGGCTTGCGCGAGGCATCTATGTCTAAAGATATCTCCTTAAATGTACATTATTCCTGGTCCACCTAAGTAGTTTTAAATTAAAAACAGCCCCACGGACCGCAGGCCTCTTCAGAAGGGTATTCCTTAGAATAATAAACAGGATTCTCTGCGTATTTTGAGTTAGAAACTCTTCCCCCCAGGAATATATACATTGTTTTAGGTTTTGTTTTGTTTTTCTCAAAAATGTTACTGGCTAAGTGGCTAGTTGGAAGCAGTGCTTTAAAGAATAACATTTTCAAAGCAGAGGTAAATAGATTATAATATTGCAAGGTATGTTGGTGGGGGTTGGACAGTAATGGTTCATTTATGCCTTGATCTGGAATTATGCAGTCCTTTCTGTTTTGAGGGAGAGAAGCAATATTGTATATATGTCTGGAGGGTGGTGGTAGAAAGACTTAATGGCAGGCAGGAGCGGTCGCTCAAATAATTGCTTCGATTTGACTTAGAAAGTAAAAAATTGCAGCGGAAGGAGATGTCAGCATCATTGGGGGATTTATTTAGGTCAGATGTTTTCTAATGAAGATAGGAATAAATGTGCGGAAGAAAACAGATCCCGGGAACATTAGCGCTTCTGTGAGGAGCAGTACTTTAACAGCCCAAGAAACATTTGAGCATAGGCCGGTTGCGGTGCCTCATGCCTGTAATCCCAGCACTCTGGGAGGCCGAGGCGGGTGCATCACCTGAGGTTAGGAGTTTGTCCAGCCTGGCCAACATGGCGAAACCCCGTCCCTACTAAAATTACGAAAATTAGCCGGGCGTGTTGGCGCATGCCTGTAGTCCCAGCTAGTCGGGAGGCTGAAGCAGGAGAATCGCTTGAATCCGGGAGGCGGAGGTTGCGATGAGCCGAGATCATGCCACTGCACTCCAGCCGGGCAACAGAGCAAGACTCTGTCTCGGGGAAAAAAAAAAAAGAGTGTAGAGGTTAAGGCAGTTGCAAAGCTTTAATATAGAATTGCAGTTGTGTGTAGAAAAGCAGCTAAGTTTGTAAGCTTAAATATATAGATACTACAGGGAAGGAATTTTTATAAATACCTTTTATTCAGGCTGTATACTTTAGAAGTGTGTTCAGTGACTTTTTAGTATTACAGTTGGTTTTAAGTAACTTGTTACACATTTAACTAGCATCAAATAAACTGACATTATAAATAGGAGATGCTCAAATACTTTGAATGGATACAGCTAAATAAGCGTTCCGTGTATTTTAACCACTGTGGTTGTCTTCACTAAGCCATGAAATCATTGTATTCATCAAGTTTCTCCAATAAAACCTTTCAACAGTGGAAATAGTTGCTTTTCCTCCTGCATGCTGAAAAGTCAGTAATCATGTGATTATGGAGGAGGAGATTTATTGTGCAATTCCTAATGAAATAATGAAAAACCACATTTCCTTCTCTGAATCCGTAGCATGACTAATCATCCTAGATTAATATTTTCACCTGTCTGCCAGTTTTCTTCACCTGGATGTCTGCCATCATCTCAAACATAGTGTGTACAGATTTGAGCCCTGCATCACCCCTTTTTTCTTCCGATGTCCCAGTCTCCCTTAAAACCATCTTCATGGAAATTAAATGTCACCTTGCCACTGCTACCACTCTACTCCAGACCTGTTATGTCCTGCCTGGACTATTATAAGTAGTTCTTTACAGTCTCATTACTATACATCTGTAACCAATTCACCTTCCCAAGGGTCATTACAGTCAGTTCACTGTTGCTCAACCAGAATTAAACGTGAGGATTATAAACCACCTGGTAAATGATTGCTGGAGATCACCAAGTGGCATAATTTCAGTAAACGTTAATTCCTCCCTGCCCACCCCACTGCCACACCTGAAGAGAATGAAAAGAAAAAAAAAAACCCATAAGTGAATTCAATTGTGGGTACCCAAATTTTTTTTACTGCAAATGGCACAAAAGAAGGATACATCAGAATATTATCCTTTTTTCTCTTGAGACAGAGTCTCGCTCTGTCGCCCAGGCTGGAATGCAGGGGTGCAGTCTTGGCTCACTGCAACCACTGCCTGCTGGGTTCAGGCTTTTCTCGTGCCTCAGTCTGCCGAGTAGCTGGGACTACTGGCGTGTGCCACCTCACCCAGCTAATTTTTGTATTTTTAGCAGAGACGGGGGGCGGTTCACTATGTTGGTCAGGCTCGAACTCCTGACCTCAAGTGATCCACCCGCTTTGGCCTCCCAAAGTGCTGGGATTACAGGCATGAGCCACCGAGCCCGGCCAGAATATTATCTTTTAAAAATATAATTTAAAAAATTTTAACTATGACCAAAATTATTAAATGTAACTACAAATTATTTGATTCTTTGTTCCTTCTAAATCAAGTGACTTTTCTTTGTAATTTTTCTGCCAGAATGTAGATTGCCACTTTAGACATGCCCAATTTGATGCTTGACTTTAACAAGACAATCATAAAGTAAGTTATTACTGCAAAAAAAA